GCAATTGCGCAATAAAAAATTTTTCCTAAACTTCAAAGTGCACCAGAAATTCTCAGAGTGAGAATTTTAGAATCGAATAGAATATTTAACAATTAGAAGAAACAATTTTGGAGTCTTGCAGAGATTTTTGAGCACTTTCATTTGCATTTCTTAACAGGAAATTCTGTAATAAATGCTCAAATTTCAAGGTATTTCTTTCATTATTAATTAAAGTGTGAAATGTAAATGTCAAATGCAGGTTTAGGCAATTTGGATAAGCAGCAGCTATTGGGAAACGCTCGATTGGGTTGACAGAGTCCCATGGAAGCCGTTGTGTAAGAAAATTGTTGTCCATTGTGAGCAAATTGCCCAATGAATTAGGTTCAGCGATTGGGCAGCGCGATCACGAATTCCCAGCGTCATCGTCAAGTGGAAGATGAGGCCCAAATCCTGGGCCCAAGATAGCGATCAGTGTGACCACGGGCATTGTGAGAGGGAGGCTGAAGTTGGTGGCTTGGGATCTCTTTCGAAACGAGACCCATAACAACAGTAACAAACAAATAAAGTGTATAATTATAGCAATAATAATATATTTATGTTGAAACCCCATGAAAAGAATTTATTATAGATATTAAAAGGCTTCTCTCTCTCTCTCACTCTGTTCGTTAGGCAAAATGACTCGACAACTTCTTGCTCAACAACTGAGAGTTCTTTCAACTGCCTGGGCATTATTTGAAACACTTTCTAGATGGGTGTTGAGAGGCAATTTTCTTGTTGGTCATTTCGACAATTTTGTCTTCCATCTCGGCGTCAATTTCCTCCCATCTTTTTCTTTCAACGCAGTTTCACTGGTGTGCGGATATTGCCAAATTTGCATCAAGAAGAGATGCGACCTCAGGTGGAAATCAAATGTGTGCATTAATTGTGGTGAGAGGCGTTTCTCATGCTTGTCTTCTTCCTCAATCACCGTATAGTAATTATTGCTATTATTGCCAACTCTGCCTCTCCAGAGGCTATTTTCCACCCATCAATGGACACTCAATATCCCAGTCTGGGCACGCATAGAGCAACTAAATAGACACCTATTGAGTCTGCTTATTGATTGACTGAATTGATATGTGTTTTACCGATGCTGATCAGCACACCGCAGAGCCAAAGAGAGAGAGAGAGAGAGAGAGAGAGAGAGAGAGAGAGAGAAATGTGTGCAAGACGGACGTTTGGAGGAAGTGCAGGACAAGATGAACTTCATCAACGAACTCAATTTCCACCCTCAATCCGTCACCTTGAGCCTCCTCGAGTGCGAACTCCTCACTTCCGCATGGCAGAGTTGAGTTTGCCAGTCTCAAGACTTCTCTGCCAATCCCCCAGCTAAATGCTCACACCCTGGACAAATTGGGCGCGCTCGAGCACCCCTTCGTGACTCATGAGAGCTCAAGAATCTCTTGACAATTTGACGGGCATTTTTGAGGATCACTTCGACACATTCTCTGACATGCTCAACCCCGTGCAGCCAAATTAAAATGAATTCCATGTCGCCATGGAGAGGATTATCCTCTCCATTGGTCTTGTTTCAAAAACCTCCTCTTCACATTTCCTGGGAGAAACTTTCCATGATTTGCACGAGGGACGCGCAACTTTGGACAGTTCTTTTGATGAATTAAAAATTCACTATCCCCCCAGAATGGAGGGGCGTGGGATTAATGAACTTAGAGTCGAGGCGGAAGAGAGACATTTTTCCACTGAAATTGCATACTCGCGCGCGCGAAAATGGGCGCCTGGTTGAGGGGGTGGATTTGCAATTTCCCCCGCGGGAAATGGGATTGTAATATGAGGCTGTCGGCAAAGTATGAATACATCATCGCATGTATCATCCATTGTTCGAGCCCAGTGTGGCAGCCAAATTGAAAACAACCCCTCATTTTGGGCCAAATGATCGGCGGCGGATTGAAATTCTAACGACGACGGTTTTTGTCCCGTCACATGAAAGCCATACTTTGTGCGTTTTCACATGAATTTTCCCTCAGCACGACAATAAATAATATACGTGACAATGATGGTCGATTACATAAGTGACAAAATTCGAGGGCCTGTTGACGTGTCGGAGGGTCGGAAAAAAAGTCTATTGCACAAGTCGATACTCAACTGTGGCGTATCAGCATGAATAAAACATTTCGCCCCCTTCTGCTGTTGCCCTCCATCGGGAAAATTCAATTACACACCCCGAGAGAGGGTAGTTTTTCGTATATATGTTCTCAACTCGAGGGCTGAAAATTCTGCAGCAATTCCATCAAAATACGGCCGTTTTGCCATTGTGCCGTAATGAATTTATACACGGCAATTACACACATTTGCTACACAAAACTTCAGCCCAATTCCCGCATTCTTCGCCTCTCTTTGGGATCCCGCTGGAGAACTCCCGGCCAGCATGGGCGTCTCCTCATTAGCAAAACGCAATAATGGCACCGCGCGCTTCCTCTTAATTGCATTTCATCGCCGTCATTCTTTTGCCCCCTAATTAAATTCACACTGCAAATTGAAAATGTCTCACAATTGAAATGACAAAGTGTCTCGAAGGTGATTTGCAGCCGTGCAGAAAGTTGTCCAAGTTGGGAAAATTGATTTATTGCAGGATTAACAGAAGAGTGTCTCGCTGTCAATTAAAATCGGATTTATTGGCTTCATCTCCAGAGAAACTTATTATGCTGTCGCATCGTGTGAGGTCCACATTGTGAGAAAGGAGCGGATGAGAGAGCTTCATTTGTCAGTTCTACTCAAAGGATCGATTGAGGAAACGACTTATCTTTACGATTATAATTAATCCATGTGCCTTCATACAAAACTTCTAGGATATACGTGCTTTTTTAAGGCGTTTGAAGAAGCTTAATTTTGATTTGAAGTTTTTATGCAATCGCTTCATGTTGAATTAGAATTAGAAATACCGGAAATACTAATCACAAGATATTAAATAACAGCAAGAAGACTTGTATTGTTCTAGTAAAATTATCTAAAAATCTATCACTTTTGGTCAAAATTTCATTGGAAAACCCTAAAATGTGATCAGAAGAACAGAAAAAGGAAATTGTGACTGTTTTATTACTTATAGTTTCATGGCAATAAAGCAAAATTCTATATTTTATCTAAGAATAAATTTTTGAATGAATCAGATTTTCTGATCTTAAGCTTGATTTTATTACAATGCACAGTGACTTAATTCATTCTCTTTTATATTACGAATAAGAAAAAAATATTCAATGAATATTTATCCATTAAAAGCGATAGAATGATAATATTATAAAACATTCGTGCAACTTTTCTTACTTAACGTAAAATGAGAACTAAGAAACTATTGTGGTGTTAAGTAATAATTCAATAAAATATTTGGTTATATTATGTACAATTTACCTGTCAAGAGATAAAAGAAGCTCAAAAATTAACAAAAATAACGTATTTTGGACTTCAAAATCTATATTAAAGCCTCTCAATTAACACTGAAAGATTGATAATTTCTGTTCTTTCTTCAAATTCACTCTCCAGATGGGAAAAATCCGCCTTAATTAGTAAAAAGAAGCACTCATTTCCATTGCGAATCTCGAGATTTTCCCACTTTTCTTCCCCCAAAAGGCATTGGTGATGGCACAAAAAGGGAATGAAAAGCGCTCTCGCCATGTTTCTTTTTCCCTGAGCAGCGAAATGAAGGGATGAGGTAGGAAAAAAAAAACGCAAAGAAAGCGCCAGAAGAGCGGGAAGGGTGGTGACGAAGGGCGTTGCCGTGCATTATGTAAGCGACGGGGCGCGTCTCGAGGGGGCGCATAATGCAAATCACAAAATGAAACCATAACGAGGGTGAGACGCGTTGGGATAGAATCGGGATGTCATGCGAGCGTTCTCTCTATGAGGAAATTATCAATTGGTGCGTCGCATTTTCGGGGAATACATACAGTATATGTACAGCAGTGTGCTGGCGAAAGGGTGGGAGTCTGTGCACATTTTCCGAATAATTCCTCCTTGTTGAGTATTCAACTCGCATTTCCACCAGCGCCAACAATAGGGAAAACCCATCAGGAGGGCGCCATTCTTCCATGCACGGTCGCCAGCGGGGGGAATTACTTCAACGCGTTCAATATCATTTGCAATCGTGAGGGTGGAAGAGTGCTCTGGAGACCTGGGCTTTTATGACATATTGAACATAATATCGTTATTGCTTCGCTCCGAAAGATCCGCATTTCAGACACTCCGCATCAGCGAAAATTGCAGTTGTGACGCAGTCACGAGTCTCTTGGAAGCCACTTCCTCTCCGTTCTGTGCACAAAGTCGCGTAGATTTTCGGTCACACGTGAGCTCGCAAGACCTCCGCGTCCAGATGAGTGCACAAAAGGCCTGCAGATCCGCCGGAGTGACATGAGTACGTGAGATAAGAGCACATTTCACGCCTCAGACTTTCAACGCCCGTCATTTCGGAGATTTGATGAATAGAATTTTGATGATAAGTGCAAGATAGCAGATGAATGCACTCTGAGCAATTCAACCCTCTCGAAAGCCTCAATTCATGTTCAGCCTCAAATGCTCCAACCGCTATCCTTCCGTCGGGAAGACTGGCGTTCTCGCATTGTCGTTGGGAAAAGTCTGAATTACAGTCCAAAGTTCTTAAGCGACACATAAATTCAAATGTACATTTAGTTCTGATGTACAGTGAGTTCTGATGTAACTCTGCGGTTAATACGAGAAATGATTTGTGAAAATAACATTTAATTTCTGAAAAGTTATGCTGATATTTTTCAAAGTATTCCCTATGAAAATCAAATTATTCTGTGTCAATCGATTGAATACTGCTAATTTGCTAAAGTCACATATCCTTTGAAAGGCCTCAAAGTCGACTATGAAGCACTAAAATCAATAAAAGCTTGTGCTCTTGGAGAAGAAGAAGTTTTAATGGTGTTTCAAAGGTATTTTTTCTATTAACAAAATTGAATCTTTTGTGCATGAACTCAAACGTGTATTTTTTCCACTTAAAACTCACAAAGTTTCCTTGTAAAAATATATTTATAACATACAAAACGAGAGATAAATTGTACTGACTTAATATCAAATGCAGAAGAAACAACAATAACAGTGATTTTTCCCTGAATTTCCCGCACGGGAGTGAGAGAGAGAGTTTGGGGTTGATTAGAAGGCTTCCGTGGCTCTCATTTGGACAGAATTGTGAATCTTGTTGACGCTGTTCGACACGGCGCCCAGCATGAATCCCACCAAACCCTTGTTGTTCACCTTCTCCGGCTTCTCCAGCGTCTGGCTGGCGCGAGAGCCTGCAAGTGGGGCGCTTTTAGGGGCGACAAACACACAGAAGCCAACAACAGAGAAACTCACCGACGAGGAACTTCAGGACGATGCGATTGAACTCGAGCGGCGTCTCTTGGTGTGGCCAATGCGCGGCGCCCTCGATGATTTTCACCACGAAATTCTCACAGAAATCCGTGCTCTTGATCACAGACTCCAACCGGAAGAGCGGATCGGAGTTGCCTGCAAAAAGCATTCAAGTCCTTTAGCACACAGAGGATATTCTGCGCTGGCGCGCGGACACAAACCCGTGACGATGAGGCAGGGACACGAGACGAGGGATCCCTCTCTGATGCGGTAGAAGGGCAGGTTTCTGTAGTAGTTCAGCGGTCCATTCCAGTCCTCATTGCGACTGAAGATGTACTTGTACGCGTCCAGGATGTGTCCCTTCTCGTTCGCCGAGCCGTTCAGCGGCTGTAGATTGTTGTACTTGGACTTGGAACGCGTGTTGTCCACGTGCGTGAAGTTGCGCTCCAGAAAGCCACTGTCCGGCCGCACGTGCTCGATCTCCGGGAGGCACGGCAGCTGGATGAACTTGAGCCAGGCACTGTTGATGGGCACTTTGGAGCTCACCAGATTCCGCCAGATGAGGTTTGGGTGCGGCGCCGAGACGCAAATCAGCCGATTCACCACTCGCGGATTCGTGTGCGCCAGAATCCAGCCCAGCATTCCGCCCAGATCGTGACCCATGAGCGTGACTGAGTTCACGTTGAAGCTGTGAATGAAGTCCACAAGCTCACGACACACCTTCTCAATGCGATACTCTGAGCGCCACAGCGGCTTGTCCGAGTCATTGAAGCCCTTGAGGTCCAGCGCGATGACGCGAAAGAAGCGCGAAAGCTCCTTGATCTGCTCACGCCAGCCGATCCAGCAATCCGGGAAGCCGTGCAGCAGGAAAATCACGGGATCCGTTGCATTTCCCGCCTCGACATAGTGAAATTTGGTTCTCTGCAATGCGCAGAAAGACAAGTTCACAGATCAGAGATGCTTTTTTCTATGTTTTTCGAGAATTAATTGAAAAATTGGAATATCAGTAATTAGAGAATTTTCTACACTGTTTTAGCAAAATATCCAGCAAAAAAACATTAGAATAGTTGTTTAAATTGAGTAGAAGATAAAATACGCTATTTTTTCCGCTGTTATCTTAATTATTTAGACGACTTATTAACTGTGTAGAAACAATTTAAATTAAAAAAGTGTCGTCAAAGAACATTTTGTTAGCACTTTAAACCTGTTTTAAACTGTTATTTTGTCACTCTTTTTCAATCAAACAAATTGCATTTCTCCTATCAATTGACTTTTCACTTATAGGAAATCATCCGGCAGAGTGAATGACAATGACTTTGTGTTGCGTTCACTGTTTATCATTGCCAAAGCATTCCCTTGACTTCACGCAAATGCACAAGTCGCTCTATCATGCGAGACACTTTTTTTCCGCGGGATTCTCTGTCCACCTCTTGTTATCAGTGAAATGTCGGAAGAAGGTCACTGGCGGGGAAAGCACTGCCGATTGGCGGACTCACGCTCAGTTTCACGTAGGAATGCCGGCCGAAGTTGCTGTCCACGAGGTACGATGGTGGCTTCTCGGGCGCACTGTGGCTCCTGGGCGGCACCGCCCTGGGATTCACCACGGTCCAGAGGTAGTGGATCAACCACTTGACCATCACCCAGACGCCCAGGAAGGCGCCGCCGGTGCAGCACAGCAGGATGTCCCACTTCGGCACCACTTCCACCGCTCCGTAGTCGGACTCGTCGCTCTGCTGGAATCGCATGATCGACACTCTGGGACAGGAGGAAGAAGTTTCTACAACATCACGGAACACTCTCTGCACGATACAATTCCGAGCACTGCTGCACACTGACTGACTGGGCCGAGATTTATCGGCAACTCTGTGAGCTCCACTGACAGTGATAAGGCCCGATAAGGCGGAAAACGGGCGAGCGCCAGTGAATCTCGTGGCAAAAAAAGCACTGATCGATGACGAGGCGAGCGACCACACGATGCACTCCCAAAGGTCGTGCCTTGTAATCTCGACAGTTTTGGGCAAACGGGGAAAATTCACCGGGGAGAAGAAGGCGTCTTATTAACCTCGTGGACTTTGATTCGCAGTCATACGTAAGATTGAGTCAATAAGGCTGTAATTGCATCTTATGCACATTATGCAATGTTCGATTGGACGACAGGAGGGAACTGAAGTTGAGCAATCGCTGCCGATAAGCAATGAAGCTTCAGGTCTCTTTTCAAGCTCATTTTATTCATTGTCAATCGTAAGAAATACTGATGAATATATTGTCTAAAAATCATAGTCTTGATTTGAAAATTGTAAATTAATTCAATTAAATAGTTGTTAATGTGACTCCTTTCTCTGGTCGCCACTGTATAAAATTATCCTAATTGTAATTAAATAAAAATATATTGCAAAAGGAAAGTTTTTGTGACGATTTTCGGTGCTAAAAGAATGCTTAAAAAATACCCTCAAAACCTTTGCGAAGTCTGAAAAGCGAGTATTACAAATTGCACTTGAACTCCACAGAGTTGGAAGACTTGGACGGATTATCCGGCGGCGTTCAGCGTGAGTCTGAAGGCGATCTCCACGAGATTCTGCGGCACGTCGGCCAGGTGGCAAAGGTAAGTCTCCCTGCCGGTGGCCAGGAACAGCCTGCCAATGACCCAGAACTCCAGCGCGTTCATCTTCAGCAGCACGCCGTGCTCCTTGATGGCCACCAGCGAGCGGTGCGAGTTGGGCTTGCTGGTCTCCTGCGAGAGCAGCTGGCGGAAGCGGATGGTGTTCTGCAGGACGGTGTGGATGAGGAAGCAGCTCTGTCTGAAGGCGCGCACGAGGTCGGCACTGTGTGTCACCGTAGGCGCTAGAAGAATGCCCTCGCCGATCTCCAGCTGCACGAAGTGCAGCAGGACATTGTTGTGGCCACTCGTGAGGCGACTGGGAATGATGTCAGACACTTCCTTGAGCAGCGTCTCGGTTTCCGACATGTCAAAGCCACTGCTGCTCTTCTGGCTGTCCGGAAAGCCATCCCAATCGCTCTCGCTGTCGTCGTCCTTCTTATGCGAGTCCTCGCTGGGCGTCAGACTGCTAGCCACATCGACATTCTCACTGGACGTGCTCTTGCGCTTCAGAATGGAGATCAGTTCCATCTTCTTGGTGGGCGAAGTGCTGGGCTGCGCATAATCCTCACGGACAGTGCTCGTGACGCACTGCGGACGCCGATTGGAGGCGATCCAGGTGGACGCCAGCGTCTCAATTCCACCACTGCGGAGATGCTCGAGTGTGTCCTGGATTTCCTCCACATAGAATGGCGACGGTGGGATGAACTGGGCAGTTTGGCTGGCGTCCACGTATCTGGACTCCAGCAGGACAGCAATAGCCATTTGTCCACGCGCCACAACGTTGAGAAACCACCGTCCTGTTGGCATTCCGTAAATCTTCCCATTGGCCGTCAATCCGCGATCGCAACTCTTGAGGAAGACTTCCTTCCACACAACGCAATCCTTCACACTCTGCTCCGCGAGGAGTTTGGGAACGCTGTGAAGGCGCAGAAAGGCATTCAGATCAATCAAATCCGCCACGGGGAGATGACTGGCGAGGAGGAAGCCCTTAAAGAACACCGCACTGCCCAAAATATAGAACTCACGGTGCGATTTCAGCGGTTCGTAGTTCCACTCGCGATAGTCCATCGCCTCCATCTCGCTCAGGGCATCGTCAATCCTCAGCTGAGCCTCCTTGGGCAGCGGCACCAGGTGCACTTCCCTCAGGATCTCCTCGAAAGCGAAGGAATCGCCGCGCGCGCGGCGTATTCGAACGCTCCACTCAATTATCTGACAGAGATCTCGGAGGCTGGCCGAGTTTCCCTCGCCAAAAGCACTTGGCAGGACGCGATAGGAGAATTCCAGGACTCTGTGAATCTCTCTGGAGAGAAACACAGCCTCCTCCGGACTGCCACACTGTGTGGACAGAGCCACAATCATGAGATCCTCATTGAAGGGCGTGTAAACAATGTGGAACATCTTTCCGTTGATGTCCAGTGTTGTAACCTGAGGACTGGCGTGGAAATCCGTGGTCAGGAGTGAGTTGAGTGTCAGGAAAGTGCCTCTGGTGGCGTAGAAGCTGTTCTTCTCCTTCTCCGGGTAGCAGAACAGCGTGTCCTGATTGATTGGTCCCACATCTCCGTTCATTGTCAAGTACAGCAGCGCGAAGAGCTCATCTTCCTCATCAACGACGCCCGGAAAGATGACACTGAGATTGTTTGCCATCATTGAGAGATTAAAGAACTTCGTCGGGCTCTGCTGGGGCTCCTCAATGGGCTTCTCATCGGCGGTTTGCTGCAGCGTGAGCACAGCCTCCTTGAGAGTGTCATAGGCCAGCAAGAGTGTCTCCCAGTTCGCCACAGTCACTTCCTGATCGTCAATCTTCGTAATCCAGTCGCCAACCTTGACACTCTGCAGCACTGACGAGAATCCCGCCACCATGACGCGCTCCCCATCTGGGAAGGGACACGTGGAGATGCCCAGGAGGGATTCGCTGATGGATGTGCGGCGTCCGAACTTGTGGCGACGCGCAGGATCCACCAAAATCGTGAGTTCCTTCACTTGACCGGTGGAAGTTTCGCGAAAAGTGACCTTGTTCTCCCCACCGGACGCCTGCGGCATGGGCAGCTTTGGGCGTCTGGAGATCAGCTTTGACAGCTTACTGATGCCAGCACTCCTCGCGCTCCTGCGCGTGCTGACGCGGCCGAAAGCGTTCCGGACGGAAGCCAGAGTGTTGACGACATTCTGCTCCTTGTTGGCATTTTGCGCTGCCGGATGGAGTTCCAGGTAGAATAGCTGCCCATCGTAGGTCACGAAGGGCTCCCAGTCGGGGATGTAGCTGTCGTCACTGTAAGATTCCCCGAGAATTAGCCCAGAAACTCCAGCAGAAGCGCAAAACTCACCTTCCGCTATACGAAGATCGGGAGGAGAAACTCGATGAGGAGCTGTGATCACTCCACTCAGCCGAAGAGCTGGAGTTCCTCTCGCCCTTGAAGGGAATCTCCTGGGCTTTGCTCATCCCTTCTGCGAATAAACCCCTGATTTCCAGGAGGTAAATAAAGCCAACAAGTGGTTGTTTTTGACGTGAGGTCTGCGCCGAGTTTATTTTTCCGGTCCAGATGTTTGGTGAATTTGGCTGGATTCTTCGTTCGGGAATTGAACAGTTTCCTTGTTTACCCGCAACTTCGGGAAACGTTTTTTAAAGTGCTGCACTTTTCACTGAAAATGTCCCTATTTCCTGCATATTCTCAACCACCGGCTGATGAGAATTCCTCCAAGGATGAAGGTAGTATCTGATTTTGATGAAAAACCCGTGAAAATTGATGTTTCTACTGGATTTTCAGGTGGAAATGAATGGCTGTCAAATGCGAGTTTCGTGCCTCTTTGCCTTCCTGGAAAATCCCCAGAAAATTCATCATCTCCTGTCCCATCAACCTCTGCAGACACAAGAGCTGACGCTGAGGTGTTCCAAGACAGTCTGGAAGTGCCCAAGAGGAGGTCCAAGAAGAAGAAAAGCAAGAAAAAGCGCGAAGAACCTAACCTCACATTGGAGTTCACTGGCCAGGAGAATTACTATGTGGACAAGAAGAGTGAAATTGGCTACTTGAAGATTGACAAGCTGTACAATCCCGCCTGTCCGCGCTACTACACATCTCGGGTTGTCTTGGGAAAAGCGCCAAGGAGTGAAAATGTGAAGTACAGAAGGTATTTTACCCGGAAGCCCAAGAAGTCAGATCAAGTTCCGGACAAGGAGGGCAAGTATCAGCTGTCAGAGGAGGAATTCCTGGAGAAGAACAAAGAGCTGAATGCGAAGGTGAGGCAGGAGCCTTACAACATCGCCAATTGGGTGGAATTTGTGGAGTTTCAGTCGCTGACGTTAGTCAAATCGTCCACGACGAAGGTGAACATCGCCGAGCGAAAGATGGGTATTCTGGACAAGGCCTTGACACTGAATCCTGCTAATGAGGAGCTCTACGCGGTCTATGTGGACACCATCACTGCCGTTTTCCCCTCCTTCGAGGTCAGCAAGATTCTGGACAGACTCCTAGCGAAGGATCCCGTGAGCTTCACTCTCTGGAACGCCCAAATTCTCGCCACGCAGGGCTCAATGGCGCGCTGTGTGGTGCCGGACGTGCTGAAGCTGTACGACACGTGCATGAGCACAATGTACAGGAAGCTGCGGAACGACTCAACGATGCTGAAGCTCTTCACCAGATGCGCCTTCTTCCTCCGTCAGGCCGGTCTTCTTGAGCAGTTCTTCGCGCTCGTGAAGCTGGCGCTGGAGCTGAACGTTTCTCCGGACAAGTTCACTGGCATCGATCCACAGGAGGCTGATCAGCACTCTCTGGTGGAGTTTGAGGAAGTTGTGCTGAGCTCTGGTCTGCCTATGAATGAGATTTGGCTGCGGATCGAGAAATTGCGCACGAGCTTCAACTTCCTGCCTTGTCCCGTGGGCATGAGTTGCACAGATCCTCAGCGTTCGGTGTTCAACGAGGATGTTTGCCACTTTATCTATCCGTTGGTGGATCACACACGCTCCCTGGAGTTGATCTTCATCATCTTGCGCCTCCTCAAAGTTCCTCTGCCGCACCATCGCGCTTTCTGGGACGATGAAGGCTCACCTGCAGATCTGGACGCGCCTGAGGAGATGCTCAACTTTCTGCTGTGCTGGAACTTTGCCAGAGAGGACACAATTACAGAATCCGCAGTGAGTCTCATTCGGGAACTTGCGGTGGGGCCGAGTTTCATGACAAGTTGGATTGGGAGTGAGATTTATGCGAAAGTCGTGGCGGAAATGCTGCTGAAACTCGCTGAGTGTCATTCAGGACGTCAGAGGAGTGTTTTTGTCCTCCTCTGGATGCGCTTTCAGCGACTCCTGGTCACTATTGATCGACTGGAGGGTAAACTTGTGGAGAGTCGCGTGAAAATGTACAGGAAAATGATCAAAAGTGAACTGAAGAAGGAAGAGAATCGCCAGGAAGTGAATCTCTTCACTGAATACGCCCTGATTGAGTTACAATTGGCCGGCAGAGCGTTGGCTGAGAATGTTTTTATGGGAGCAACTGCTAATTCTGAGGGAGCTTTGAATGCAGACAGATTTTTCGCCGGAGTTTGCTTCTGTGAGATGTTGCTGAAGGAAGGCGACCAGGAAAAGGCTCTGATCGCACTTGGCAATCTTGTAATGCAGAAGGGAAGTCTTGATGCTCCGCAGAAACTTCTGCTGGTGAAGAAACTCCGAGATCTTCTCACGAATCTCGCGCAGGTTGAATTGCAGTGTGAAGAGATGGAAAAGGAACAATTTATCCTTCCGGATTACCTTGAGAATCTCATCAAAGCGAATGTCTATGCACTGTTTCTGGTTAAGACATCAGAAGAGGCACTAGCCTTAATTCACAGTCTAAGGAGGAGGTTTTGCGAGAAGAATGCCCGACATTCTTTCCTCCGGGAGACGCTTTTCGAGGTGGAGGCGAAGCTTGATACTCTTCGTGGCCACAGTGGGAGATTTGAGAGTGTCTCTGCAGCGCTAAAGCACTTTCCGGCCAATATCTTCCTCCACAAGTGCCTGATTTCTGTCCACTCGACGCCTTGGTATCGCCTCAAGAGTGCTCTGGTGAAATGCGACACTCCGCAGGCCATTCTCAGTCTCGTCGTGGCGGCGCGGACGCGTCACGCCGCCCAGGAGGATGAGATCATGCGTCGCAGTCAGCAGCTGCGCGTCCTCACAGCCCTCAGGGCGATCACCGGCGACGGGAAGCTCCGCAAGTGCCCGCTCATGTGGCGCCTCCACCTCCGCAGTGCGTACGAGCTCGAGGCCACTCTGCATCAGTGCCGCAACGTCCTCTTCTCCGCCCTGGACGAGTGCCCGTGGAGCAAATCCCTGTACCTCGACGGCGGCGTGTACGTGCCGCACGAGCTCACCCAACTCCAGGACCTCATCATTGAGAAGCAGCTGCGAATTTACGCCCTGCCCGAGGAGCTGGAGATACTGCGAAGCGATGGGGTGAGTGACTCTAAGTACATTATCCCTTGGCAGCCCTGTGCTCAGATGGGCGGGCGCGCTGCTAATTAACACGGTGGAATCACACACCTTTTGGCGGAAAGGATGCGATTTACTCATTATGTCCCTGAACTCATTCTCGGCACCGTCTCAGTGTCACGGTGTCGTAAAGTTTCACTAATGATGATGAAGAGTTGACACGGTTTCGAGGGTGGCAAAGTTCAGGAAACGAAACTTCTTCGCAGTTTCTCTCTTTTGCTTTGATGAAGTGTCTCTGATTCATTACATCTTATGTCTTTCGCCTTTTAAGTTTAACGTGATTTGTAACTTATTTGGAAAATTTAGTACATCTTCATCTTCCTGTTCAGTGCTTTGCAATGAACTTACATTCTGACAGTCTTTCCTTTTTTTCAGGTTTACGTATTGTGTCAGATAAATGCGTGACATTTCCCGTGGTTTCTTTTATCCTTCTACTTCGAGTTCCCTTTTGCCGATATGTCATCGAATCTCTTAATTTTCTGTCCTCTGTACTCTAGAATCTTCAATTTGTTGCTGTTCTACTTTGCAGCTTCTTTAGTTTCTGCCCCAGAAAATAACTTGCTCTGTTACATATTTTGTTGTTCCATTGTTTATTGACTTCTCAATTCTCATTCGATGCTGAGGAGAGCGTCACTTGTTCGCCCCTTGATGGTGAATGTGCCATCCATACTAATTGCGAGGAATCAGTCCTGGAAGGAAGACGAATGCGGTGCTCAAAGTATATCTCCGTTGATTAGCCCCACGGCGACTGGCGGCGGTAAAAGTGTCCTCCGGAATCAAATTCACTGGCTGCCTAATTAGTTATCTAACACGACTACAGGAGAGGGTGATTTAATTTGAAATGCGAATGGCTCAAAGTTGAAACGGAAACGGTTTTAATTTCTCTCGCATTTTGCCAAAAAAAACTTATTGTATAAATTCAACTAACTTTTGCCTCCGCATCTTTTTTTTCACGCAGTTGAGAAAGGAGATTTCTACATTTGTATAGTATTTGTATTTAAGTGAAGTTTCTCATTGTGTGGCCTTTTCTTTTGCCGCGTCTTTCGAAGGGGGGGCAAAAGAGGTGCGGTGTTGGGTTTATTAGGAAAAGTCTGTCTTGGCTGATGTGGTGAGACACTCCCTCGGGTGGATTTTTCATTGCCTGCCACAGAGAGTGCAGATTGAGGACGAAGGGAATCCGAGAGTTGGGAAGAGGGTGAAAAATGGAATGAAAAGTGTTTCAATTCGCTACTGTTTGTATGAATTAGAAGTTTGTGGTGAGCACAAAAGAGAGCAGCGCAACTTTCCTCCTATTTTTTTTTTCTCTCTGGGCATGCGAAAATGTGTGAGACGAAAGCAATGAATTGTTGGAATTGATTTAAAAGTTTTTCACTTTTCTTTCACGTCTGTTCTCTCTTTCTTCTCTGAGAGTTGCTGTTTTTTTTTTTAATGACGCCTCTTCGGAAAAACTTTCTAAATTATTCTTTTCCCCAGCGCGCTCACTTCATGTCATTTGAGACAAGTTGAAAATCTCTATTTCCTTCACACTTTTCCCTGCAAATGCTTAGTTGGAAAATGAGAGGGGAAGAGTGGACACTTTGGTTGCTCAGGGGAGAGATGTTATTGGTTGAATCTAGAATTTCCCATATGTGTTCTGTTTCATCAAGTCTTCCCTTCGTTTTTCCACGTACAAATTGGATACAGAGTTTTGTCGGAATGCTCTTTGATGATGGATCTTGAGTTTTTCTTCACTTTCTTGCATCTCGGAGCAAATTAAATTGGAAATGAGATGAAATAGTTAGGCATGTCTGAAGAGTTTTCTTCTGAAACTCTTGCTGATTGATCTTTAAGGTATGCGCAATGATTCACTTTACAGAATGTTGTGATACTAAATTTTGTAGGATGTTGTTTAGTGCAATTATTACGCATGATGCTTTTGCTACACTCACTGTAATTGTGATCATTCTCTGTGCAACAATAACACAATTCTAGATTATAACATGAAACTCTCACATGTCCAAATTCTATACTTTTCAAGCAATTAATAAGATCCAATGGCAAATTGGACAAAACTCAAACACCCTTGATTCCCCTATTTGAGTTGAATGTGCATTAGTGAGACAAAACGAGCGCCATTCGACAGAATACAAAAGGGATAATGTCAGTAAATTAGTGTGGATTTAATTTCTATTCACTATAGAATCAATTATAAATCAGTGGAGAGCTCTTTCATAGCACAAACAATGGTATAGATTCTATCGGATAAATCCTTTAATGGCACACAATTTATACTGTCAAGATGAGCTTGGACCCCCACTTTCAAATTACTAATTTGTTCTCACAACTTAATTGGATGCATTTTGCCATGGCACACATTCATGGGAGAAATTGCATTCATGGAGAGCAAAAATAATATTTACCATATCTCTTGAGCTCTGAATATGTTGTACTTCCCTTCCATCTTGCATGCCAACGGCGAGAGAAGAGACGCCGACACAATGTGGGAGGAAAAGAGATTTTTGACGTTATATTCAGTTTCGCCTTCAAAGTATCGGAATCATTCAATTTTCCATGGCATATTTGCATACCATTGCGCGCAAATTATCATATCTATCGTGATGAAATTATATTTTCACAATTCGCCCAAATTTTTACTTGACATTTTGGCTGGTGAGTGTAATTTATACAAAGCTATGTTGATTCTTGTGGGAATTCTGTGGGATGAAATAAATTTAAATTGCTCTATCTTATGGTATCTTGTTGATTTTGCCAGCACATAAATAAAAGCATTGTCTGCAAAATAGTGCGATAAGCACTCTAACGTGTATATTTTTCCGCTTTGTTAGTTTTAACTTACACTTGACAGCTGTCAAATGTAATCAATGCTTTTTTATCACTTGCATCTACATGTAATGATATATGAGGAGCCTTCAGGGCAGCCTTTCAATTAATCACGTGAAATGGTGTCCTCGAAATGTGTGTTTGATGTGATCAAATAAAATTTAATTACACCCTTTAATTACGCGGGGGAATATGACGTGCGAGGGGGCAATTTGACTGTGAGATAATGCTCTGGATGGCACATCAAAAGCCCAGAGAGTGATCCCTTATCAGCCATCCGGATATGCTCAGTTGTACGAAACATGGGAAAAGGGACTTCATAGATATAAATTTAACGGGTTGTTCCCAGCCGACCCACCCTCTTTTCACCCCTTCGCCTCGGGCCCATTCATCGTATGTTGGCAACATACACAAAATGGAAATTAGTACAAGTGATTTAATATATTACCATTATTGTATGGGAGCATCTTTAAAGGGAGATTTCCCTGACAGATTACAGCCATGGACAGTGAGAGCTCTCGAGATCCCATTGGGGACTTTATACACACCCTTGGCTTTGGGGATGAAATACAACTAAGCACTACATCTTGTGCAGGACATTTCATTTTTAATCCCAACACACATGTAAGAACATTCTCAACCACCTTTTTGGCCGACAGCTCAACATTCTCACACACACACACACACACACATGAAATTCATGGGAGTCTATTTGTCAATTGAGAATTCAGGGCTTAATTGCTGGGTATGTTTTAGTTTTGTCCCACTTTTAAATTACTAATTAATGCATATCATTTGTCAATGGGAGCTTTTATCAGCACACAAAATGAGGGCTTAATGAAAATCGATAAGATACTCTTAAGAAGGGTATTTTCAGTTAATTTGCATTGTCATCGTGAGAACTGCTTGTAGCTTTACTAAGCAATTCATAACATGTTTTCTCCTTTTATTCATACAAAACGTGAGATTTAAGATGATAGATAAGATTCCAGTTCTATGAATGCTGTGAAAAAAAAAGTATGAAATGTGAATGATTTGTAGGGCAATTTTCGTTGAAAAGCAACACAATTTCTGGAAGAAAATTGATACAAAAATGTCTTTCTCTAGCCAATTCTAGGCAATCACATTGAAACTCAGTGTGTGTGTGTGCGTTTTTTTTTCCTTGCGAAGAGACGTAAAGTCGGTAGAATTTTTCACATTGCTGAAGTGTGCAAAAAGATTTTGGGAGAGAAAAGTTAAGAAGAGAGTGGAGAAAACCAATAAATTATTCATTTGCTGTTAGACTTCCATTTCACCAACAGCGAGACATGCAATCAAAATTCATATACGTTTTGGGTGAGAAAAAATTCCTTTACAACTCCTTTTTGTACTGAAGAAATGTTGAAGAATCGCGCGCCATTCGCCCTCTTGGGCAGAGTTCAAAGTTTTTCACTCCTCCGGCAACACGAAGCGTGTGAAGGGGGGAAGGGGCGTCTTGAGAAAATTGCTGGCACAAATGAAACTCATCTCAATCTTGGAAGCCAAAGTTGGAAAGTCAACAGTAATTTTCTTCCGGACTAAAGAGTCATAGTCAGTGGTTTGTGACACTATTTTCCATGCAACACACTCACACCCTTTCAGATATGTCTTGAGGAAGTCATCATGGGGCGATGAATTTTTCAAATTCATCCACGAGGCAATGAAGAGCCATGAGCGAGAGGAAGTTTGAAAAAAAATAATAATAATCAGAAAATGTTTTTTGAAAGTGCAAAATTTTTCACAAAACTTCATACTCCGCCTTAATTTTCCCTTATGCTCGCAGCCTGCACTCTATGCTGCTGAATAATTTACTCATAGAACTTTATGCTTTGTTTCCTCTCCAGAGTGATAAGAAAGCACCCCTCAGAAAGTGCCTCAGGAACTTTTTTCCCCGTCGCTCTCTGAAATTTATATCAATTTCCAAATGAAACACTTGGCTTTTGATTTATTATTCACACACTTTCTTGACCATACATTTTAGAGGAAAAAGTTACTTTAGAAAAAGAGAGAGAGAGTGTTGTTAAACATCGACAGCGATTCATATAGAGGAACTTTTGTGTGTTCGTGAGAGTGTGACAGCGACAGGAACTCTCTTTTTTTGTTGTTCAGCACAATCCTCCTGATGC